GCGCAGTTTTCGATGAGTCATATCATTCTTAACTTGGACGGAAATGAAATTTGTTACAACGTTGCACTTAGTCTTTCATATTTGTTGTTAGTAATTTAAAAGATATTTTGAAACACATACGGAACGATAATAGTTTTTTAAAATATAATAACACAAAAATGAAAAGGGAACTCGGGTACATTTATCAAGAGCCACAAATAATCCTTCAAAGAGCCGCATGTGGCTCGCGAGCCGCAGTTTGGCCACCCCTGTATTATACTGTATTAAGTTTATGGTATTGATTGGTATCATAAGTAACGGTATTACAGTAAATATGAATTGTATTAATAAATAATTAAATATTTATTTATTGCGTACCGAGACATACCCGTATGATTCACAATGGGTATCATTTCAGATGTTGATACCACAACCGAGATGGCTCCAATTATCTCTCACATATCTCGTATGTGAGCATATCAGAGATCGAACCCATTAAAAGCATATTAAATACAATCCGCAAAGAAAACCTTTTGTAATTCGCATAAAATCTNTCGACTGTCTGTTAAATTTTTATATATCAAAAAGTCCTAATATCAGCTTTTATAAACTAAAGCAAATTAACACCAAATTGATATAAACAGCAAACTTAAAATGCTTGCTAAGGGTTCATTTTTGACTTCCTTGGCAAGCGATTTGAGTGTACATTTTATTTAAATATTATTTACTTTACTTTATCTAAGACATAAATTAGAATTTCCAGATACACTCACCTGATAAGCATACACAACATAATTATTATATCCAAATGACGAATAATTTTCATTATAAACGCACTGAAAACCTGTAAAAAAACATTTCCAAATTATTATTTATTTGTTTCACAATAATATACTTATTTGTGTTAATGAAACAATAAATTACAAGTAACGAAGTTGCAAGTCGTGATCAAGTTTTTCTTAAGTATTATACCCGGGGTGGCCAAGCTCCTTGATAGTCCGAGCCATTTTTCAAAATTTGAAATTTTTCGCGAGCCGCAATTAAATACGTATTAAAAAGGTATGCAAAAAATTCCAGATTACAAATTATATCCGTAGCAAGAGTGATACAAATTGTTTCCTCCAGAGCACAATGTCAACTGTCCATTGCAATGACAGTTTACAAATTCAAAAT